ATCATTATTAAACAGTAGCAGCCTCTCAGGGCAGTGTCTGCTCATCACTGTTGCGCGACAGAGAATCAATTTGCTCGCTGGGGAAATGAAGACATTATTATCTCTCCAAGATGTCCCGGAATAGGGACCCCAGCGAGCAACCAGGATTGTCAGCCTGGCTCCATGACAACTGAGCCAGGGATCTGGAGGCTCCCAGAAAGAAGGTCTACTTAGCCTTGCCTCCTGTAGGGACCACCACAGGTGTGTGGCCCACAAGGAACCTTTTTTGTGTAGACTTAAAACTGAACTTGAGGGACTGGAGAGATTGCTCAATGGGTAGAGCATCTATTGTCTTGCAGAGGGCAACGGCTTCATTCCCAGAACCCACATGGTAGTTCACAGTCAGGGGACCGGATGCCCTCTCCTTACCTACATAGGCACCAGGTACACATGTGGCCCACACATGCAGGCAAAACACTAGTGAACACAAAACAAATCTAAAAATACAAACAACAAAACAGCAACCCCGAACTTGTAAAGGGAAGAAGGCACAGATCAGGGCTGGAAGCTTTAAAAGGGGCAGAGATGATATAGGGCTGTTGTGAGTTACAGGTACACACAGCCTAAGCTAGATAGTTCTGGAAGGTTCTGGGTGAGTGAGAAGGAGGACATGGTATTGAGATTCTGTCCCCAACAAACTATCTCAGGCATAGGTCCAGGAGGAAGCTATGGGAGAGATGATGCTTCCTGTAGTTATATTCCGGCTGGAGGCCCTGGGTCAGAATGGGAGAACCTCAGGCTACGTGGAACTGGCAGCAGGACGATGACGTCACCATTCGGGGACACTGGTGCTCCATCATCACAGTCTTTGCCCTGATTCCTATGAGCATCTTCACAGGCTAGAGGATGGATGAGACCATCTCCCAGGCTGACAGTCAGCAAGGAGGGGCTTGTAGTTCTCCCCTTGAGCATGTGCCCTCATGCCCAGGGATGAACCACTGGCAAGTGTGGTGTTCCCAGTCACAGTGAATCCTGTTTGCAGCTTGAAAACATGCAGAGAGGAAGCTGGAACCCCATTAGGATGTGGGAATCACTGTACCTCATTATCACAACCAGTGTCAAGGACATAAGTCTTCTCCTGGCTGGAGTCAGGTTGGGCTCTGGGGCTGAGAAGGGAAGTGATGCGGACTGAGCCTGCCCAGAGGAGGGTGTGCAGGAAGTCAAGGCAGCACCCACCTTTGCATCCCAGAGGGAGGCCAAGGTATCCGGGGCCCCTCACCCAGCAGCTGAGAGGGGCTGGGGCTGGTGTGCGAAGAAACACAGCCACAATTCTTCTCTGCAGCCCCACAGAGCAGATTCAGGCCAGGTAGACAGAGCCTACCTGTTCCTGCCCAGCCCAAGGAGAGGTTCTGACCCAATAGAGCCAGTCCCCAGCAGCAGCATGAATCTCTGAGGGTGACGTAAGAACCTTGTAGTGGAGAGCCAATCTGTTCAGTCACTATTAAGCTACTCCAACTCTTTTCATGTCTAACACATTGGGCCCCTTCCCAACACTTTGTATGAGAAGAAATGGAGTTTTCATCTATCTTTTATAGCTAAGGACAGAGCTCAGAGAAGTTAAGTGACTTAGCCAAGGTTACACAGGGAGGCAGAGCTGTCACAACATCTAACTCCAAATCATATAGGGAATGGAAAGGAAGTTGATTAAGGTCGTCTGCCATCTCTGAAGTCTTCCAGAGTATGGGACTCTTGATCTAAAGTCTCTCTCAGCTCCATCACAGCCTCCTCACCCATGTCTTCTCTTCTCTATCTTTCCAGAAGCCTCTCCGATGCCCCCATCTCACCTGCTTGCAAAGCCCAGCCATGCTCAACCTTGGTCGAACACTGGAGTTCCCAGGAGTATAGCAGCGAGCCTCAGAATAAGACATGGAGCTTCAGTCACCAAAACAGTGGGGAACCAATCTAGGGACAGATACCTGACCAGTGGAATGGAGTTAAAAGTCAAGAAATGAACCCACGCCTAGAAGACTGATGTAAAAATAAACTCACGTGTCCACCATTGAATCATTTTCAGCAAGAGTAGTGGACGAATCAGCGGGAAAGGACGGTGCCTGATGGAGCTGGGACAGATGCTATTCCCTACCTCACGCCTCAGAAAATTGGGACTCCCAAAGGAGTCAACACTCCAAAGATAAGGCTAGAATTACAAACTCCTGAAAGAAAACAGAGGTGGCTCTTCAAGACCTTGTATTTGGTAATGGATTCATGGAGAGGACATCAAAGAAGACACGAACAACAGCAACCAAACACGGCAGACAAAATTGAGCTGCAAACATCCCCTGCTGGGGCCAGTGGGGTCTCCATCACCCACTCCACTCCTGCCATCTGCTTCTTGTGGGCAGATCTCTGAAGACTTCACAGAGGGCTGGCTGGCAAGACAGAAATACCTCTCTCTCTCTCTCTCTCTCTCTCTGTGTGTGTGTGTGTGTGTGTGTGCGTCTTTCTCTGTCTCTGTCTCTGTATCTCTCTCTCTGTCTCTGCGTGTGTGTGTTTCTCTGTCTCTGTCTCTCTCTGTCTCCGTCTCTCTCTCTGTCTCTCTCTCTGTTTCTCTCTCTGTGTCTCTGTCTCTGTCTCTGTCTCTGTCTCTCTATCTCTCTCTCTCTTTCTCCATATCTCCATATACAAGGTCTCATTGTGTAGCCAAGTCCGACATCTCTTGATCTTCTTGCCTCACTCTCAGTGAGTGCTGGGGTAACAGGTGACCGACTGGGAACTTCTTTTGTCCTGTCCCATGCACATTGTACAAAGCTGGGTGGAGAATTAGGGAAGGAAGTCACCGTGCATGGAAGATGTACCCTTTGGGTGTTCAGCAAACAGTTCCAGGGGCAGGCGGCCTGCGCTGAGTGCTTCCCTAACCTCTTGATAGACATGAGTCGTGGAGCAGATCACCAACTTCTCTGATGCTCAAATGGTCTCGCCACAGGAAACTTATGAAGCTGACTGTTTGGGTATCGGTACAACCAACAGTTACCTGCAAAGGGTGACTGAATGGAGTAGAAGCTGAGAAAAGCAGCTCACACCCCTGATGGCCTCAAGCCCCAGTACATCAGAACTGAGTTGACACAAGCCAGACCCCCTTCCCAGCCATTTTTAGACCAGGCACAGGAAAAGGTATGTGTCTCCTGGGTAACATCACTGTTCGCTGATAAACACCCACTCTCACATCCGGAAGCCTGGGTATTTTTAGGAAGGTTCTCTAAGAGGTCAGAGGACCCCAAGAGAGCTGCCATTGTTCTAAGCAAATAGAGCAGGTGACCCCCACTGCTCAGCACCTTCCCTCACCACACCTGATAAGGGTGTTGAGATTACAGGGTGGCTGAGGGGTTGAGAGGGCAGAATGGGATAACCTGGGGAGTATGTGTGGCTTGGCCCAAAGAGGTTCATACGATTCGTGTTTTTCAGAGATGAGATGTCTTCACTCGGTAGATATAGCTAGGCCCCAGCACGAGGTAGCACTGTATAGTCCCTGACCTCTATCTTTGCTTTGAGGTCATTTTATTGTTTACTGTGACTGGCATTTGTCTGTCGGGAGGAAGGCCCAGGCTCAACGGTCAGGCTTCCTGACTCCCTCCTGAGGAGAGCCAGTGATGACTCCTGTTGCCTGCTGAAGGATGGGCCAGGGAAGGCACGCTCTCTCCCAGTTCCTTGAGGCCTCTGATAAAGGAAACTGGCCAGCTCCAGGCTCTGTATATATCTGCCCCCTGTGGGGATTGAGGCTCAGGCTACTGCTGGAGATTGTAGAGCTGGAAAACTTCAGGTGCCAAAGAGGCCACTGTCCGCTAGAACCTCAGCCAATCCCAGCTTTGGCTAGCCATCTAACCTGAGATCAAAGCCAAAGTCACCCTCAGGCAGCCAGCTGCACAGCACAAACACGGTTGAGGAATTGAATCGGCGACGAGAAAGGTGGCTGAGCGCTGCGACCACAGACAGCAGGGCAGCTAGACAGGAAATGCTGCCAGTCTACTGTAGCAATCTGTCTGCCTTTACCATGTCCGGCTGACAACAACCCTGGGCATGGGGAAAGCAGCAGAAGGACTCACCCAAGAAACTGTGTGGGATACTTCCAGAATCTTCCTCATCTCACCTCTCCCCAGGATAATGTGAGGAAATGTTATTCTAATAGTTTTAAGAACAGAGAAACCAAAACCCATGAGTATTTTACAAAAAAAAAAATATCCAGTATGAAAACATGGAGCCCCCAGGACAAAGAACAAACTGCTTTCATGCTTCCTCAGGAATCAGAATTTCCACACAAGAAGTTCAGTTAATAGGTTTGCTTTAACCTGGAGCCTCAAGTCATAGAATGAGTGAAGGACCCAGAACTGTGGTGCCATTCAGCCAGGGATTCAAACCCTGCGCTGTCACTCACTGCTATGTGACCTTAAGAAAGTCCCTTCACCTCTCGGACACCGAGTTTTCTCTTCTCTTTTAAAATGGAGGTAGAAATGGTGTCAAGATCACACCCTGATGTACACTAATGGCTGCTGCTGGCCAGGAGACATTAGGCCTGAATTCCTCATTCAGGAACCTTCCATGAGGCCACTCAGCATGTCTGGGGTCCTGGAGACCCAGAGGCAGAACTCAGTCTTGTCATGCTTAGTGTTATCATGGACAAGGGGACAGACACTTGTCCTATGCTAAATGTTACCTTCAGGGTGGTGAGTGCTCTAGGGAACTGTGTTCTCCTCATTGTCCTGAGCCTGAGGTGGACACGCAGAAGGTGACCACAAAGGGTTCATGGGAGCTGTGCCCTCCTCAAAGAGTTAGTTTTCACTTCTTGGATAGACCCTGCCATCCCTGATGAAGACCAGTGTAGAGCTGCCCTCCCCTGCCCTGCACCCCTAGGGCATGAACCTAAAGACTTTCCTCCCAAAAGGTGGCCTCTGGGGGGCAGGAAATAGATGAGAAATTCAGCCATCTTGATTGAACAAGGGTTCTGACACTAGATCATGACATCCTACCTCTTCCGGCTGTCTTCGTCCTTTCTGGGGAGGAACCGAGATCCCCTTGAAATCTTCAGAGCAAACTCTAGAGGAAGAAGAGGGAAAGTAAGGGTTAGTGGGGCATGGGCATGTGTCTTCTGGGGTCACTTCTGCTCAGACATCCACTCTTACCCCAGGGTCCCCTTCCTCTTGAATTTGTACCAACAGAGACTGCCAGAGCTGGGCATAGAGCCCAAGCTTCCTAGGATGGAACCCTCCTAGGTTTTCATCCCCCATGCCAGTTCTAGACACCTGGACTCGTGCACCCAGGACACTCAACTGACCAGAACACCGGCCTGTGCATGTTTACTTTGAGCTCCAGAGGTCTTTCTGAGTACTGTGGGAAGAGGGAGGAAGTCCATCATCACCTGATAATGCAGGCTCTTTGGGCAGACCTATAATTTCAAGCATGGTACATGAAAAGACGTGTAACCAGAGGCGAGAGCATGGAAATGATCGCTCAGTTCCATAGTGTGGTCCAGAAGCCCAGATTCTCCCTCTCTGGTTCTCCTGTCACCCTGAGGAGGATATACAGGAGAAGGGTAAAATTCACCACATCCTATTGACGTTTTGGTTAGCCAAGGCTTAGGCTAGTCGCAGAACTGACTTGTCACAGCACAGCTGAATAAAACAAGCAAGGCTTACAGCCAGGATGGCAGGAATCCAGGTCACAGTTGTGACCGTCTGACCACAAGAACTGAGACAAACATAACAGTGGGGGCCCTGTCACTTCATGCCACCTAAGGCAGGGACCAGGACACCACTGTGAGAAAGCCTACCCACCTCAGGGTTGAAGACCCTGAGCACATAGGAAGTGAGTAAAATTCTCAAAGTCTAAACTTTGGCAAGGTGGGAACTAGAGCTCACATCTGAGGAACCCGGACTGACTAAAGTACTGCTTCCACGTGGGAGAGGTCCCAGTAGGACAGGGATGAGTTTAAGGTCTCCTACATGAGAGAGAGTCTCAGTGTGTTAGCTGGTGGGGAGTGGTATGGCTGGGACCACAGCCTGGTTTTAGTGCCATCAAGGCAGTGTGAGCCCTGGGAACCACCTCATCGATCAAAAGAGGGCTGCAGTTGAAGGAATCTAATGTACACACGTACCAATACCGATGTTCATATGTGTGAACATATGCACACCATATATGCATATGTGCACACTTGGACATATGCACAGACACATACATGCATGTATGTGTATATACGATATGCATGCATGCACACAAAAATGTGCTCTCTTCTCACACCACACACAGACATATATATATATATATATATACATAACATACAGAATTTTCATTTGGGAGGCTTTTGTTTGTTTGTTTGTTTGTATTTTAGAGACAGAATCTTACCTAGCCCAGGCAGACCTTCAACTGACTATGTAGCCAAGGCTGAGCCTGAACTCCTCATCCTCCTGCCTCTACCTCCTAGTGCTGTAAGCCATCATACCTGTCTAGAGTTTTCATTTTCAGACAGAGAAGTGATCATCCTTACTTAGCCATTCAAAATACTCAGTAGAACATTGGCACAGCCTGTGAACTGTGACCCACACCTACTGCCATCTGACTATGTTGCACACATCTCTATGACACACAGACAACAAATGGAGTTTTAACACACAGAATAAACAATGTCTGTGGCATTGCGCCATTTGAGTGTAAGAATGCCCACACTCTTGGCTCTTAATGCATCCCATGGTACTTTGAACCAAACTTCTTTACCATCTGCTTATGAAATTCCACGGCCATGTCCAGGCCACGAGAACCTTGCTACCCCCACACCTTGGTGTCCACATCAGCATATCTGTATCAGATAGACTCGCAGTGAAGGACAATCAGAAGAAGCCTCTTCTCTTGTCTTGGCTGTAAACTTGAAGCAAGGGCTCTGCTTAGGAGATGTCTGTTTTGGTCCTCTCCCAGGGGCTGAAACACATGTCCCAGGACAAAGGGAGGAGTCTAACGGCTGGTGAAGACAGATGTCCAGGGTTCCACTGCCTGGGGCACCTCTGAGGAGCAGGAACTGCATTTACTGGCTCAGAACTGATAATGAGTTTTTATGAGCTCAGGGGAACACTCAGAACACGTATTAATGTCAAGCATGCCCGTCAGCCATGCAGCTTGAGTGAATGTCACACATTAACGAAATTAAAGGCTCCAGCCAGAAGCAGCTGCAGGCTTCGTGTCAAGAGGTTGCACAGGGCCCAGCTCAGACAGAATCACTTTCCACATCAGCTGCTCCCTCTAGAGCATCTCTAGGGCAGACAAATCCCACCGTCCTGCATCCTAAAGGGGATGAACTGGTGCCACATAGCCAGGAAAGACAAACCTCCCACCAAGCCTTATCCCATGGAAGCCACTCTGCTTCTGCCCCTGGGAAGGGTGGTGTCCCCCATGTCCCAGCCAGAGAACCCCTGGGAGACAAGAAAAGGGATCCCAGGAAACAAGTGTGGAAAGATGGTAGCCAGATGATGTGCACAGTGACCCTTGATGAAAGGAAAAGCCAGGAACCAGGCAGGAGGGGTCCAGTTCCCACTCAACTTCCACTCCTATGGACCAGATTTATCTTGGGCAAAGCTCCCCCTGAGGTCTGAGGTGGCCCTGGCTGAAACCAAAAACCTAGCTTAGCAAGTGGCCTTGAGCATGAGGGATCCACCTTCATGGGGCCTCAAAGTCTCACCTGGAGAAAGAGTCAAGTTTGGTAACTTGGAGGGAGCTGATGGGGGACTTCCTGATAAAGGTAAAGGCAGAAGGAGAAAAGAGCCTGACGCCAGGCTCCAAGATCATAATCGCTGTACTTTTAAGTACATCTAATAACACCAATTAATTTAATTATGACTTTACTTTTTATATGATGCAGTCTGGTTTCTGAGGTGCTAAAAATTTATTTTGAAAAAGAGTGGTACCTTAAAATCTACTTCAGTTAAAACTTGGGTTGGAGGTTCTTGTGGCTCTCTCTCTCTCTCTCTCCCTCCCTCCCTCTCTCCCTCTCTCTCTCTCTCTCCAGTGCCCTTCCTCTTGATTTAAACACAGCAGGTTGGGGATAGAGAGATGGCTCAGCAATTAAGATCATTGGTTGCTCTTGCAGAAGTCCCAGGTTCGATTCCCAGCACCCACCTGACAGCTCATAATTATCTATAGCACTGGATCCAGAGGATCTGATTACCTCTTCTGAGTTCCTTGGGGACCAGGTACACATTTGAAGCATGCACATACATGCAGACAAAACATCCATCCACATACACATTAGAAAAATAAATAAGTACAACAAGCTGACACAAGAAGATGTACCCCTCTGATAATGTCCCCTGCCTTTGGAATGTTGCTTCCTGAGTCGTTACAACATAGCACCCTTATGAAACCAACATGCCATACGTTGCTCTGTGATTTCCCAAGTAGCCTTCCTCCTCTAGTTCCTTCTTCTAAATCCTCCATCCCCACGGCCTCTGTCCACCCAGGCTCAAGTTCATGATTGCCTGTCCATTGGCTGCAGAGGGGATCAAGGCTTTGCTGCCAGTGTCCAGCATCTGTTCCCTCCAACCTGCCGTCTCTGCTGTCACAGCAAGCCCTAAGAATACAGCGAGCACTGTGCCTATCTGCAGTGGGTTCTGTGCCCTCTTCCGATGGTATACAGATCTTTTATCATCTGATCCTCCACTGACCCCCAGGCTCATCTTCAGGTCCTCACGGTAGGAACACACGCCTGTCAAACTGAACTCACCTGAACAATACTGCCAGTGTGCTGGGTTCTACCTTACTGATGTTCTCTCCGCCTGGAATTCTTTGTCTTTTCTCAACTCCGAGCTTCATTCATCCCAACACTTCCACACCCCTAACCACCTTCAAAACTTTCCTTCAACTATCTTTTCTGATTAATATTCTAAGTATCACCCCAGATATAGTAAAACACTTGTGATAAAACACGTATTATAGAACTCTGAAGTTCCCTCAGTAATTTGTGTCTGGATTTGGGGCTAACATACATTTTTGTCTTAGTGATTTCTTCCCTACTTATCAGACTATAGGGACAATGTCTTCCCCCTGCCAAAATAGTGACAGTATCTTCCCCCATTCTTTGCCCTTCCCCTTGTGAGCCTCAAGCCCCAGACTCAGTAAATAATAGCTGGATAGCTGCTAGGAGAAATGAGTGGTAGGGAATTAGTCATGAAAGTTTGTATGGCTGGAAAGGGTAGTTAAGTTGGAGTTAGTTGCAGGAATGGAGAGATAGAAGGTGGGTGGATGTGTGTGGGTGAATGGGATGATGGTTGGGGGAGGGTAAATGGATAAACGAGTGGATGTTCAGATGGATGAGTAGATGGCGGGTGGATGTGTGGATGGGTGTAGGCGTGGGGACTTAGGTGGGTGGTGTGGATGGGTGTAGGCGTGGTGACTTAGGTAGGTGGATGTGTGGATGGGTGTAGGCGTGGGGTCTTAGGTAGGTGGATGTGCAGATGGATGAATAGATGGCGGATGGATGTGTGGATGGGTGTAGGCGTGGGGACTTAGGTAGGTGGATGTGTGGATGGATGTAGGCGTGGGGACTTAGGTGGGTGGATGTGTGCATGGGTGTAGGTGTGGTGACTTAGGTGGGTGGATGTGTGGATGGGTGTAGGTGTGGTGACTTAGGTGGGTGGATGTGTGGATGGGTGTAGGCGTGGGGACTTAGGTGAGTGGATGTGTGGATGGGTGTAGGTGTGGGGACTTAGGTAGGTGGATGTGTGGATGGGTGTAGGCGTGGGGACTTAGGTGAGTGGATGTGTGGATGGGTGTAGGCATGGGGACTTAGGTGGGTGGATGTGTGGATGTGTGTAGGCGTGGGGACTTAGGTGAATGGATGTGTGTAGGCGTGGGGACTTAGGTAGGTGGATGTGTGGATGGATGTAGGCGTAGGGACTTAGGTGGGTGGATGTGTGCATGGGTGTAGGTGTGGGGACTTAGAGATGTGGGTTAATGGGTAGACACAAGGACGTCTGCATGGATATGTGGATGAGTAGGTAGGTGCATGATTTGATGCGCCAGTTGTGAATGATACAAGGACAGATAGAGGACAA